AGAGTGGAGGCAGCCCCCAGGCAGAGCCGGCTCAGGGCAGCTGCTGCCCAGGTGGAGGCTGCACAGACTCGGCAGCCCTGGCTGCTGGGGGGAGGAGGGGGGAAGCTGCCCCTGTGCCAGGTGGGCGCTGGGGGGGTCACTGCAGGAGGAAGGCGGCAGGCTGGGCTGTGTTAGGGAGGGGGAACAAGAAACAGTGTTATTTGAGACTTTACAAGAAGTGCTGGGGCCCTGAGGCATTGACCTCCAAGGACTACAGGACAAAGGCCTTCAGCAGCAAACAGCACCTTGGAGAAGGAGACACTGTGGTCTCTGGTGACCCATAGGTCAGGCTGTCACTTCACTCCCCTTCCTCCTATGTGGCAACCAGCAGCACATAGTACGAGCTGCAAAAGGACATGGTGAGTGTTAGCAGTGAGTGACACTACTGAGACGCACCCATTTGCTGGCCTGGTTTACAGTCCAGGGAAGTTTGCTGCTTGCCAAGAGCCAGGATCTGGGAAGTCACAGGGAGGTGACCGCCACAGGTGGCTGAAAGCACAGACTCCTATCTCCTACTTCTTTTCCATGTAGGCACCAGTGACATAGTAAAGCAAAACCTGGGCAAGATCACGCAGGACTTCAGAGCCTTTGAGGCGCAAGTAAAGGCTACAGGTGCCCAAGTGATTTTCTTCTCTGTCTTGCCAATCAGAGATAGGGTGCACGCATCATGGAGATCAATACATGGCTTCATTCACTGGGGCTTTGGTTTCTGTGATCATGGGAAGTCATTCAGGGAATACAGCCAGCCTATTAGGGAGAGATAGGATCCACCTACCTACACGAGGCAGGAGAATCTTTGCTAGCAGAGTGTCTGAGTTGCCCATCTTGCTTTAAACTAACAAACTTGGGGGGGGTGGTTACAACCCAACTACTCCAAGGGTTCATGCGTTGGTAAAGGTTCAGGCTGCCAAGGACGGATCCGGGATAGAATAATACCCACATTCCTCTCCCCAACTGCCCTACTTCTGCCCAACTTTATCGTGGGTGTATGTATATATAATCTTCTCATTCCCATGGGAAAACATGACCATCCCCTACCACCACCAAAACGACACTCCCACTTGTAGAGATCTCATTAGCTGCCTCTGGTTTCCTTTCCAGAAGGTCTACCCACCCCGTGTAAAAGATGCCATGGCAATGCTACAGAATTGCTTCCTTTCAGGGAAAAGCTTTTGAAAGGAAAGGTAAAATCAGGTTATACAGTCCTAGGTAAGGAGCTATATTTATATCATCTAACACATGTATGACATTAGTTGCCAAATTTGCTAATGGAACGATATTATACCTTCTTGTTGCTTTAGACTGTCAGCGCTATAAACAAAAAAAAAAACCACTTTATGTCAAAAATTTGCAGGTTTATTTCTTATGACTAGCGTACTATTAAAGCAATTTAACCAGAATATAATTATCCCATTTATTGTTTCCAATCAGAAAAGCTTATCAAGCTGAAAGCAGAAAACATTTCCTCAAGACTTTCTAAAGGGTTTTGTTTCTCTTTGATTTGTCAGCTGTACTTGATTTCTTTTGCTGTAACAATAATTTAACCAAAACATGGCTTACATATTTCCATGTAAGAAAAACACAGTTCATTTGTTATTGCCGTTTAGTTAAGGTTAAATACATGCCATTAAAATATGCTCATTAGTTTCAATTTTTATTAAACTTCTCAGCTTCTTTCAAAGGAAGTATCTGATTTTATTTTGCATATTCTTTTGTTTGTGAAACTTTGAAACATTAGAGACTTTTAAAAGTTAATGCACTGTGTATATACTTCAAAAGACAAATGTTTTACAGCATCACAAGCAGTTCAGACATCTCCTTAGGCTAAATAAAAACCTAAAAGGAGAAACTGCCCTGTATAATATAAAACTCCTATGGTACACAAAGCATATAAACAAATCCTAACTTGAACTGTTTCAAAAAATTCAGGTTCCTTCTGTATCTATTAAGGAACAAGAATACTGCATGATGTAACTGTTTGACAAGATTAGCAATAAGATTTTATTTAAATGAAAACAAATAACAAGGTATACATAAGAGATGAAATGTTGAAAATTTAATTGTGATCAATTTTTAAACAAATTATTAAGAGAACTAATATAAGCTATTTTCCAAATAAATATTTCTTTAATGAGAAAGCACTTCAAGATGTTGCCGCACATCTACATTTTTAAATTTTCTTATCCTTAATTATTATTTCTTATCCTTTATCTTTTGAAATCAAAGTAGTACTGCAGCAAAGTAGCACTAAGTCATGTCCATGCAAACTGCCAGAAAATAATCCATACCTCTGCATATCTCCTAGTTCCTCATGTTTCAACTATTTATTGAAAATACACATCATCATAAAACAGATTAGAAAATGTGCATGTTCTTCTCAAGGTGAGGGATATCATCTTAATCATAATTAGGGGTCCATAGCACAGGCAGATTAAGTTCAACATCTAACCTAGAAGATTGTGTGGAAAAAGCCTGCAGCTCCATGTGTTAGGATGAAGAAATTGTACAGAAAGCTTCTCCAAGTATGGACTCTGCAGGCCAGTCACAACCCAGATGAACAAATTGAGAAAATTAATTTTAGAAATACATGAAAGAGGACTGTCGGGAGGGTAAAAAAGGAGAAGTCCTAGAGAGCAGTGCAACACACAAATACAGTACCACTAACAAGAGGAACGGAGAATGTGGGAATCTGTAAGCATTCCCCATCTCATATGTGTTTATGCTTGAAAAGGGAGGGGAGCAGAGTACAAAAAATGAAGTTCAGAGGCTGAGGAGCACACATGCTTGTCCTACTCAAAAATTTCTGCCCTGTTTCCTGAACTACCTATTTCAAGAATTAGTTGGAGCCACCACTGATGATGACCTGCTAAATGTTTAATATTTTACAATTCAAAGCAGAAAATCTAACAAACCTTGATGACATTTCAAAGTACTGATTTTTTTTTTTTTTTTTTTTTTTTTTTTTTTTTTTTTTTGGTGATTACACAGTACTAAAAACAGTAACATAAGGTGCCAAATTAAGATAAACACCATTCTTCAAACTTCTGTATTCAAGTTTTTACAATCAATTCTATTCCATGGTCACACAAGTCCCTTCTATGCTGACACTAATGGTTAAGTTAAAAATTATCATGCATGTGATATGTACAAAAGCAACAAAAAAGACTACCAATATTTGTAATTTAATCCAGGATTTTAAAGAAGATTTTGTAATCTATTTCCAATGGCACAATTACTGCACTGAAGAGCTTTATCATAAGTGAAATAATCCTCTAGAAGAAAATTATTAGTATTCCAAACATTGTTTGTAAGGCTTTTTTGATTTTTGCTGAGCTGTCTTTAAGAAAAACTGATTAATCAGACAGTTAATCATTCTGAGTTTAAGTTAAATCATAATAGGATATCAACTAGATGCATTTTTTTTATCCTGGAAGAGATCAAATGGTCAAATACTGGAATTCTATGGGTGATGAACTACCACAGTCCAGTTTCCTATGGATTTGCATGTTTATCCAAGAAACTGCAGCTCATTCATCCTAATTTCTTTGTATTCATGATGATACCCTTATCAGAAAAGTGGAAAATCCAATAGTGCATCTAGCTCAGGGCACCACACGTGATAACTGGCTAAGCTGGCCAGAATGTGTCAAAACTAAGTTTTCCCTAGTTTCTCTTTTTTTTGAGAAGGAAATAAAACTAGTTTATCACCTCTGGAAATCAATTTTATCGTCTACGAGACTTTATTCCTCTTTTGAATTTGAAACTGTCCCACAGAGAACAAAGCTTTGCTCCTTCAGAACTTTAGGCTAAAAAGGTGATTATTTCAAATATAAGAAAGTAATGTTCAGGTTTGCTTTCCTTGCCCGAGAAAGCTTTTCTATTTTAAGAAAACAATGAAAAATACTGCAAAATATTCTTACCTATTTTCTTATTTCGTTCTTCCCCACGACTGTGCGCAATAATTGGAGAATATATGAAGGGGCTTTTGGTTGACACATTCTGACCAAGTAGACTTTTGATTTTGTGAGGTCGGAGACTGGTTGGGAGGTTCAAGAGTTTCACAGATCTGTTGAGTAAAAATTATTTTATAATATTTTATTTATTCTATTTTATTTTGTAATAGACAGTTGGGTTACAAATGAACTGATAAATACTAAATGACACTGAGTAAAACACTTGAAATAAAGCATGAAGTAAACACCTACAGTACAAAAGAAAGTAATAACAACCCAAGGAAAACAAAGACAAAGTTTCAGAAAGCTCTCAGAAAAGAAATACAAAAGGAAAAAAACCTGTAGAAACCAAGAAAAACAAAACTAGCCAGACTGCTTATCTGAAATCCAGCTATTAAGTTCCAAGTTAAGTACAGACTGAACAACAGATTCACCACAAGTCCAGTGCAGAAAGCAACCAAGTATTTAACTTAAACCCAAACTAGAAGCTAGACAAAATTTCACTGGACAATTTAATACAAACAAAGAACTTCCCCAAGGTGAACAAAACAGATTTTAAAACAGCTAAAATGCACAGAGTTGCTTCTGGGAAGAAGAAAATGTCTCAGAAATTTGCGTGGGTTTGTTGAACAACCACAGAGCAATTAAAAATAGACAGAAAATGAATTATTTATTAGACCCAAATCCCTACAATACCAAACAGGGAAACCACTGGCCTTCCAATGCTGATGGGAAATTAAAGACTAAATATTGGGCACAAGAACAAGAAATAAATTAGTGGATATTCACTAAAAGTAGTAGCATTAAAAAAGCCTGTAAGACTTCTAGTTATTTAGGGTCAGGAAGGAGCAATGAAAGAAAAAAACAACAAAAGGTGAATAAAGGCACTATTCAGTATTATAGCTATTTTGGTAAAGTCTATTAAGCTTGAAGTATTTGTGCTTTTAACGAAGAGTGTAAATAAAGAGCCAAGAATCTCCCCTTTACAATCACACATGGATTAACCTCCAACTTTTTTAAAATTTGGTTTTCAAGTTAAAAAAAAAATCCAATAGAATAAAACTATGATTTTTTTAATTGCTACAGACATTCCACCACACTGAGGTAGACAAGCAAGAATGAAATAAAATGCTCACAAAACTTACCAGCAGTAAAGATACTTAAAGGTGCAGTACACACGTACCAAGACATGAACAACAACAGAGTCTAGCTAAAACCTTAAGGGACTTCTAAAACCAGTTAAGAGGCCAAATGCAAGAACTCTAGAAAACCCCAACTTGTTCAAAGATTAACTCCCGTCTTCCCCCCTTTCCTGCATCCACCTCTCACATTAAAACTTATCTCACTGGAACCCTTTGATAATGCCATAATGAACCAAAGAGGTTACAGTACATGATTAAGTCGTCACATTTTATCAAGTTCTTCAAATACTATGACAAGAGCATTGGAACTCTAAGTAAGAAATCTGCCTTCCACAGCTGTAAAGGTCCCAGAAACAACTTTAAATCAAGTGTCTTCACTTTGAAAAGAAGATAAGTATTCTGTTTATGTTAAAACAGTTTTGCATCATTTACAGGATACAACTGAAGTAATTCACTTGCCAAAGTTCCAGAATTCTACTTCATTTCAAAACAATAAACTATTACTGAGAACATGAAAATAGTCTCTACGTCCTTAGCACATTTAGGAACTTGGCACATTAAAGAACAGTTGTATCAATATCCCACTAATAAAAAGTACATACATACAAGAACACAATTTGGTTTAAAAATTACCCAAATCATTCAAGATAATGTGCAACTGCTGGAAAATCATGAAGTGGTAAGAGTAACACTACACAGACATGTTATCTCTGTGATCTGAAACACCTAATTCACTAGATAACACTAGAAGTATTTTGAAGCAAGAAATAAATCACATCCACATATTATCTGTTGGTGATACTTAGTGTCAGCATTGCAGACAAATGCAAAATAAAAGACAACAAGCCTGAGGAATAAAGAGAAACTGACAGATTCCTGAATATTTCATATTTTGAAACCTCTTATGATAAAATTTTGTTTCAAATTAGAGTGCAACTTAAGCAAAAAATGTGAATGATACTTATGTGAGGAAACAAACATTACATTTGATAAAGTGCTAATAAAAAGGAATTTTGTTTTATATATAGAGAAAAGTGATTTGGCTCATCCATCACTATTATACAAATTCTGGTGGATAACACCTGCTTTATCTTAATGCATGACAGTGAAAGGAATGTTCCTCAGCCACATATTAGACAGCTATATCCTCACACAGAACACAGAAAATTTTTTAATTCCTTTGTGTGAAATGCTTCAGTAATGTACATTTTCTAGCCCCTAGCCCAGCCCAACTGAATTCAAATGAGTGACAATTAGGAATTACAAAATAATTTCACTAGCTACCCAGAAGATCAAAATCTTGTATCTGGAAAAAGTTGTGTTAATTAAAGACAACCTATAATGGAATACTTTCCAATCCAACATGCTTTGAATTTATGAAGGTTCATCAAAAGAAATAAAAATTCATCATGACGCTTTCCAGATTGCACAGAAAATATTTTCTGCTCAGAGGCTCTATTTTTGCCTAAGAACTTCTCAAAACAATTTGACATTTTTCCATGTTATTGTGAACAGCTTACGTCAACTGAGAAGACTGCATCCTTCCAGTATCCTTTAAAATTTGACAGGTACTGTGGAAAAGTTAAAGACTGTATTTTGGAGTCTTACCTCACAATAGGTAATTTGGTGAACGGAACAGGAGGTAACTTCAAACCATCTGGCAGAGTGATGAATTCCATTGTACCAGGGCATTTTGCTGTGTAGCTTTCCAAGCTCTGCGTTACATCTTTCTTTTCTAGAAAATAAATTTGTTTAAAATAAAATTAAAACACAATTTCAAACTTACATGTAACAAAAGCTTAAGATTAAGTTATAACCCAAAGTTTTACTTTTTTTTTTTTCTATTTATACAAAATATCTTCTAATGGAGTGCCAACTAATGTTTGCACACAGTGCTTAGAGTTATGCTCCAGAAGCCTTAGTAGATGGATCAAATACAATTAAGTGACCTTAAGTAAGACAGTTTTCTGGACTTTTCAGAAGTTTTGCAGTTTCGGTCTATATCTGCTTTTTGTTATTTTTTTCTTTGCCAAGATAAAAATTTCTACAATTTCTCTAGTAAATAATCCAACACATGTTAAGGTTATTAATAATAGCACTGTTATGTGAACAAGCCCTGTTCTGAAATGTAAGCTGAAACAACACCAAAGGCAACAAAGAGAAACAAATTATTTTTTATGTTACCTTGTGTTAAAACTACCTAATTCTTAAAATAATTGTACTATATTATGCTACTAAATCATAACAACTAGTAAGAAAATTTTTCTTAGTTTTTTTCTTAAAAATAGAAGAACATTTGAACAAATATATGTTATTTGGATTCTCTTCGATAATGTACAATAAATGCTTATGAATTTTATCCAACAATTATTTTAATCAATGTATAAAATTGTGTCTCCAGAAACAAAAAGTCTGTTTGGAAATATATGGCCTGAACACAAAATTGTATTTCTCTGATGAAATGGGAGTCTGCAAAGAGAAATAAGCCTGAGAGTGTGTGTTTAGAGGGGAGAATGCGAGACCTGAAAAGTTAGACCTACATTGTTTTGAAGCACAGTGAACATTCCTCCATACATGTGCTACCAATAAAAATAACTATTCAATCACTGAACTGTTTCTAGAAAATACTTCAGAGATCAAAATACCCAATGATAAAACAAAATAGGAAAGGGTGATAGCAAATTACTGCTTTCCAAAAAAACCACTTGGACAAGTGTTTATGCAGCAAGGTTTTGGTAGCGAGGGATTCAGTAGCAGTGAGACCAGGAGTAGCTCCATCTCACAGAGCCAGTGCCAGCCAACTCCAGAATGGACTCCCCACTGCCCGAAGCTGGGCCCATCAGCTATGCTGGTGGCACTTCTGTGATAAATGTATTTAAGAACGGGTAAAAAATGCTGCTTAGCAGCTGTGAGAGGGAGGAGTGAGAAAAATGTGAGAGAAACTTCTTGTAAACCATTCCACTGCCCGAAACACCATCTTGGGCCTTGATCAGTGGATGTCTGTGCTGCCCACATCAATCCAGCTTAGTTTGTAAGCTTTCAAGGCCATGACTATATACTCTTTCAAAGCAAATAAACATTGATTGTAATGGCCTTCACCGTGAAATTAATGCCACATAACTGACAAATTGTCTGTGTTTCACTGAACTGCCTCTTGAGCCGCTCACCACATTTTAATTGGGTGTAGGAAATGTTCCCAAAAACACACTATTAGACATACACATACAGTCGGATCAGCATAGCACAGCCAGGAGTTGTAGTGGTTCAAGAGTATTTTCATAAAATGTTCAGACTACAGCATTCAGCTGGTTATTTACCATGTTATGTGAGCAAGGCCACACACAGTACAAGTAGAATCCACTGAGATGGAAAGCATCACAGCAACAAAGAATAAGAAGACAACACCCCAGTATGCACTTAATTCTGCTTGAAACCAGAGGTTGGTCATTCTGAAGAACTGGCTTTCATTTCCTAGTGTGAAATGCTGTCAATCATTGTATTCAAAGAAAGCATGCTGCCAGTTGCAAAAAGAATTTGTTTACAGACTTTAGAGTCACATTTTTATTTCACAGTTGAAGCTCAGCATGGTTTCTGCAAAGACACAGCTAAAACAAGACTTTTTTCTGTGCTGATATTGTATGAAATGCAGTTTAAAACATGCTGCTGCCAAGCCAGCAACTCTATTACTTTTTACTTAGTACTGCATCTCAGCTGAGATGCTAAAGGAATCTTCATCAGCAGGACATTCATGATGCAAAAGAGCAGAAGCTGCATGATCTTGCCTGAAAGCCACTTCTGAAAGCAAATGTTGGAGCCTTTCGCCCTTGACTGAGCACCTCTGCTACCTGACCTCCATGGTATAAGTGAATGATACAAATTTCTCTGCTCAGTCCAATTTGCAAAGCCAAAAAACCTGCAACAGACTGCTGCTTTCTAACAGTTCTGAATGTTCCTAGCATCTGCCTGGTTGTCATGATATTTTGACACAATCAGGAACTGCACAAACCTCCTGTGAGGATTTATTCAACTACTGAGTCTCCTGACCCAGAGTTTAGAAGACTGCCTGTGACTGGAACAGTTATCACTAGTACTTATCTTTATCTTTGCAAAGAAGAGATAGAAAACAGCTACTCTTGGAGGTCTTTATGTCTTCATAGTTGTATATATCAGTAGGGAAGCAGTCACCACTTGATCCTTTGACCTGTGAATTCACCTCAACAGCTTTAAAAGCCCTCACTGCAGCTGGAAACACTACTGTATACTCTTGTGTAGGCACTACAGAGACTTATTGAGTGAGAAATTATGGGTTATTTTCTCATCTGGAATAACTACATGAGTTCATTATTTTTTTTTTCTCCATTTTGTCTCCAGACTCATTGAAAGATCAGGAGCATAGAACAGCTGCAATGAAATACGGCTGAACAAAGCCATAGTGACCATTGCCACTTGAGCACATACTTCTCTGCTTGTTCAGAATAACCTCATACTACAATTCCCCCATTTTGTACCAAATTGTTTTCATTACTTTTTTTTTGGCTCCTTCTAACAACTGAAAAATTTGCAAGTCCACCAGTATTCTTGGTAATTTTTTGCTTAACTACTTCATGTCAACATAATGAACGTTGTTTTTGTCCCAAAGCTGCTTCAAACCTTTTTTTAATATGAGAACACAAAACTCTGATAGCTTCAGTTGCACAGTTAGAAACCATTTGTGACTTCCAGCTACTAAATGTGAAAAAGAAAAGTCTTTCTGATAGTTTCACAATAATGTGAAGCAGTATTTCACAAAAATTGAGCCATTGAAAAGCCAGACCAGGACAGGAAAGAAAGTCAGTTATAGACCAACATTTTTAAGCACTTCAGTAACCATGATTTAAGAGTATCACACAAACAGCATTTCCTGCCTTGGGAGATAACGAAGCAAATTAGAAGAACACAATTGCAATAACTGTATGTTTTAGGGCTCTTTAATATTTGAAGAAATTTAAAATATCGGTACTTGGTCTCAGTCCCTACCCATTAAAAATATTTGTTCTCTGGCAAAAACAATAGATTTATCTTATTTTGATCAAGTCATTGTGTGCCTTGCAGAACAACCCACAGCAAGGTAGAATGAAGAAAGGGAACAGTTTATGTCTGACCTACTAATTACACTGGAAGACAAGCAACTTTGTTTCCTTATGTAACTTGCTTAAATATTGAAAAAGGAAGTTGGGAAACAAATAGCTAAAAGCCCTCTGACTTCTATTTTTCCCCTGGTGATATGCCCAGAATGAACAGTTTAACAAAAAAAAGCTAGTACCCAGGGTTCTTCATGATGGCTGAGCTTTTCCTTGCCCCTTGAAAACAGCAAATAATGTTCACAAAGGAGAAATCTGAGGAGACCTCCTGCAGCAGTCGGCCCCTGAGAAGGAGCAGCCTGCTGGCCTGCCCAACTCTCTCAGGAACAAAGAGTCACACATCTCCTTGATAAATTACTAGCAATGTGTAACAAGACAGAAAGGTCAGTCTGACAGCAGAAAAAGCATGAAAAACTAGTTTCTGTACCCAGAAACACAGATATTTTCCAAAAAGAGAGAGAAAAAAAAAAATTGCTCAGTGAGCACTCTTACAACTAGAGAAGGAAACCAGTCGGTGCCTGGCCAGGGAGATCTTCAGCATCACCCCGCCATCAAGACACAGGGTATTCTTTAAACTAAAAAAGAATTTCAAGAAGGCCACAAAATACATTAAGACCCTCACAAAACCTGAAGTAGAACTTGAGTATTCATAGACCGTAACCATTACAAACTTTTTATCTTGAAGTTAATCACTAGATTATAGCATGTATGCAAAGGTCTTCATGAGCTTTCAGGAAGTCCCTCAACTCTAATTTCAGATAGATGCAGATGGACAGTAAGCATCCTATTTGTATCATTCTTCACTACCACAAGCGAGCTAATGTTGTAAGGGAAGTGCCTTAGCAAGACTTGCATGACCAATCCACTAATTCAGTGTTTCTGTTGTTTAATTCAGCAGAACAGAGCAGGTCTCCTCTAACTTGCAGGCAAACATCACCTGTTTTCCCATGATGTTAAGTCCCATAGGTATTCAATTACAGCATTTTCTACAATTTTAGTAAACAAACAGCATCTCTAATATTTTTTCTAAAAAATACATGGAGCAAGTAAACGACTTCAAACCACTCAGCGATCTGGTATTTGAACAAGCTGCTTTGAAATCAACGCAAGGAATGCTGGGGTTTCATTCCAATATTCTCTATTGCAATAAATACTCGCCTATGTTTTTATACTGTCCCAAACAGCTACATTTCAGACTCTTACCTATATTCATCAGGTCATCAGTTAGACAGGAAGCACATGCATCTACCTGTTCTATGTATAACCAGCTGTTGTGAAACTGGCACAGCATTAATGTCTCTGATCTGTTCTCCACACCACAGTTTGTCAGTAGACTCAAAAGCTGTTCTTATGGGAAAACCAGAAAGGCACCAGCAGACAGCATATTATATGAATGCTGTTTCTTTGAGAAATCAAGCAAAATAAATCTCTAAATAAACACAGTGGAGCCTAAAACTAATAAAATTCACAGTTACACATGGAAAAGAGCAGGAACAACAAGAAAATAATCTATGCTATCCAGAGAGCTAGATCCATTTTCATGAACAGATCATCATGAACAATATCAAAGGAAGTGGCTCCATCCACACAAAGAAGAGAATGAAAGCAAAAGGAT